GGGCTCAGCGTGGTGGGTGTCGGTCCAGCCCTCACCTAGAGAAAAGCCGTGCGTGGTGGGGAAGTCAAAAGCAATCTGCTGTCCCCATGGCCATGGCGGGCAGCGAGGCGGCAGGCGGGCCTGCTCCTGCCTGTGTGCTGGGCATAGACCTGGGCACAACGTCGGTTAAGGCGGCTCTGTTGGTAGGGACAGAGCGAGGGATGGTGGTGGCAGAGACCTGCTCCAGGGAGACACAGGCTCACACCAGTAGCCTGGAAGCTGGACCGCAGGTAAGGGGTGGCAGACAGCACTGCTGGCAATTTCAAGGTACCAGCCTTGCTTTGGCCAGGTTGTTTTGCTACATTGTGCAGAGTTCAGTGGCTTTCCTGGATTATTTATTTATTATTTTCATGCCTAGATTGACAGATGGTTGCTGAATGCGTCTGGAAATTTGAAAGTAGAATTAAAATGCATTCTTTTTACTGTTCAAGAAAGTCAAGTACAGCTGCTTGATTTAAGAAAGGCCTAGGTTTTGAAAATTTGCATGAGACAATCTAAAACTCTTCTCCCATGAACCACCACCTTGTCTTTGATGCTGCCAGTAGGAAACAGCAACCACTTGCCAACTCTAAGGGTATTTTGCACTTCAGTGTGAGGTGGAATCACAACTGGAAACTCCCAGTGGAAATAACCTGGAACACATAGTCTGTTAAAGATTTTTACATTCATTGTGTTAGTCAGTCTAAGAAAGGATGAATCAGAATCAAAAAATGTGTTATCAGTGTTCCTCTGGGCTAATATTGTAGTGAGTCCAGGGCTTAATTTATGAGCAAAGATACCAAACAGGCCAACTCTCCTGTCTACTGTCATGTTTACGCAGCCAGAATTATATATGTGCAAGGTAGTTCACATCTGTATGTAGGTTATATCTGTCATAAAGTAATTTGAATCTTCAAAAATGTGAAAGCAGGTTCTCTTGTGGCACAGTTTGGTCAGTTTGCTGAGTAGATCAGTTTGCTGGGTAGTTCTAGGAGTAGAGTATCCAGAAATGAAGTATCAGCATCATCAAAATTAACAGTGGGGCTATAGAAGGGCTTTAGGAAGGTGTAAGGGATGCTGTATGCCAGTCAGAACATGCAGGTGGTCCTCTCTGTGAGGAAAAAGAAGAGCAATATATAAGGTGACCTAAGGAAAGCATGTAGTGAGTGTTAATGGATTTTTAAAAAATATATATTTGAGTATGGTAACTTACAAAATTAAGAATTATTTGACCTTCAGTTTAAGAGGCTGTTATCTTATTTTCAACTTACTAGTATTGATTTTTAGTTTTTGTGGGTTTGTGGAGTTTTTTGCCTTTTTTTTTTTTTTTCCTCCTCAATTTCATAGTGAATTTTATTCTAATATGTGCTATTAAGCTAAATGAATTCAGTTCTTCACTTCTGACTAGAGTAGCCTTGTTAATGAAAACACTGAGTGAATCCTAATGGTTTCATGCTCAGAATAATGCTTTATGATTGCAGGGAATGGAGCAGAATGTCCGGAGAATAATAAGAGCGTTGAATGAATGCCTTGCTGCTCTACCTCAGCAGCAGCTTCAAAGAGTCAGTCACATTGGCATTTCAGGACAAATGCATGGGATTGTATTTTGGAAAAAAGATAAAGGTAACATTATTTCTTTGGCATTC